ATGCTTGTTTTTGCGGTTGTGCGATTGCTGTTATTAAATTTAGCTCAGTTATGATGCTGACGTGCAAAGAATTGTCGCCAATATTGGTCCGCAAAACGTCGAAAAGAATCCTTTCGGTAAAATTATCATGTTCTTGAATTTATATCCTGCCTTGATTTGCAAGAATCTGAACCGATTCATTTGTCCCCCGCCAGGTCTCGCAAGAATGACGCGGCTGTACAGCCGTTTTGCGAAGGCATTTTTTCCCTTTGCCAGTAAGGTTACAACGTTTGATTTCGTACAGTCGTTGTTAATTGTTCATCGCTATCTTTAGAATACTCTGTACTGCAGCTTCCCCGTTTGACGAGCAAGCATTCTTTGGCTAGCGTCAGTTCTGAGAAGGTGAAAAATCACTTCAACGTTGGCACAATCGGGCACATCGACCATGGAAAAACGACCCTTACGTCAGCTATCACAAGGGTGCTTGCAAAATCAGGTAAAGGTCATGTGAATCTTAAAGACTTTTGTTCAGCGATTTGAGACACGTGTCGTCCGTTGGAATTTCGTTTTCTATAAACTTTGGTTTCTGAAGAGCTGCAATGAATTTGTTTCTTAATGACATGGAGGCTGCTTCGTTCATTCACAAACTCATGAACGGTTGAATGAAAGTATACCTGAGGTAAAAGTAATATACGAAATCATATTTGCAGATGGTATCCATTTCTGATGGTAAGAAACAAGAAATGCCTTCTGTCATGAAATCGCAAATTAAACCGATTTGACATGACAGAGTGATGGTTAGAATCAGGTAGTAAATTAGCCCCATATGTTAGGATGTTCCGACATTCCAACGGTGGCAGACTCTCTTTCTTTTTCCTTTTTCATGACCGTTAATCTGGCATTGAAAAGTGATATTCTAAATGTCTCTCCGATTGTCTAGAATAAAATCGAAATTCTGGCGACCATTCACTTAATCTTCATCTTCCACGGTCGCTTCTCCTTCAGGGTCGCGGAGGCAAACGCGTCAGACAGACCTTCCAAAGTTCCCGATCCTGTGCCAGAGTCTGAGCATCGGCAGAAGACAATTAGAGTCTGAAACCGACTCCTTCCATATATTTGCAATTGGTTGATCTTGGCCGTCCCTGGGTCTTCTGCCGGTCGATTTGGCAAGAAAGAGTTGCTTTGTCTTCCTTTTTGGAGTCATTCGACAGTCATAGCCAAACTGTCGCAGCTGTGAGTTCTCAATCTGGAGAAGCAGAGGCTGTACACCAAGGCTCTTCCGGATGTCAGTATTCCGGACCATGCCGAGGCCAGCGACGCGTAAGGACAGCGTCTCGTCTAAGAAACCCCATTTCGCTGCAAATGAAAGCATGTAACGAAAAAGTGGTAGTCGGAAATTTCCTTAACGGGTATGTTGGGAAGCATCATAAGGATTTGACATGATTTGTGGCGGACATGGATATTGCGTGGTAGATACAAAATTTGAGAACATCTTTCAGATGGCAGATACATACGATATGGCTCTGACAAACAGCGTAAAACACTCTTTATTCATACGAGATGCAAACTGTTTGATCAATTGGGTGATTGAGTAGTACTGAAGTGATTGGCCTGTCTCACGGATTTTCTTCAACGTAAAGAGTTGGGTTGGTTTCAGAAGTTCTTTATGTAGTTAGCAGCTGTTCTAAGTGTATGAGCCAAAAAACGAATTTTCGGTCCATGCTGCCGATTAAGTAGTTCGCCAGCAACAAGGCTCTTCCAGTTTACTCAGAGTTTGTATTCTCTGTCACGGTTGACATTGTCACAGGACTTTACAACACATGGTAACAAAGCACCTGGATATAAAACGAAGCCTTATCCCCTGTCACGTCAAAGATCAATGTGAAAAGACCTTCTCTTGGATCTCATGGTTCACCGGCATCAGCAAAGAACGGCACATGCTGAACGGCACATCAGGGATATAATAATCATCCTGTCCTACGACAGCCTCATCCGGATAAAGGATACGAACCCTGCGCGGTTTGGGCGAACCTTGTTATCCTTTTCATCAAGAAACTTCTTAAAAGAAACATGGACCAAAAGATCGTCTTCTTCCTTCAAATATAGCAACCGTTGCGAACCATAAAAGGACGTCTGAATTCAGTCAGTTTGCGTTCTTGCTTAGAAGAAAGTTCGTGAGACACGGGCTTCAGCATCGGTGCTGTTCAGTTATCTGATTGACCGTATTGTTTTCATTGTGTATTAAGAAACCCATTATTTTCAAACGTCGAAAAATGCTAAGTTTTTATCGTTTGACCAGTGCAATCTTGCGAACTTTTTAAACTTTCTAATGGGTTTAGCGACTTTAGGAATAGTGGATCTGCTCCGGTGGAGATATAACCTTTCCCAGCACAGCAGCATGCAAGATAGATTTAATGTCAACCATCTCAGTTATTGTTGATCTCGATGACCTGGCTGTTTTAGCATCGCTTAGTCATGGAATACGGTGACAAGGACAGTTTAGTAAACAGCTTTTCTGCGAGTGTCACCTCATGAGTCATTTATGTTCTGTCTCTTTTGATTTTGATTGAATTGCATTTTTAAACGACCCTTTGCCTTGAACTGAAATTGGTGCCAAAAATATTAACCATTAACACGTTAATTTCAGTGCTTCTGAAGATCGAGTATTTTACTCATGCGTTGGTAGTCATACTAATCATAAATATTATTTCAGTTTTACATGACAATGGAGGTCTGTCGGATGACAAACCTGAATCTCGTTGCTCAGTTGGTAGAGCGTCAGACTCATAATCGAGAAATCCGGAGTTCGAGTCCCGGACAGGATATTCGCCTTCCTTCTGAGGTTGATAAAAGAGAACCACTCTGTGAGAAGGACACGGAAACTTGCCAAATAGCTGTTGTGGACTCTGCCTTTACAAAAGTAAGGCACTCGTGGTTGATAACATAGAAATGAATGACATAAATTGCAAAAACGAAAGGCGCCATAAATAGCTCGATCATGAACGTGTTAGGAAGACCAGCATTACAAGAATTACAAACGTTTATTTTCCTCTACCAGCTGTTTGCTTGCAGCCATAAACAGACAATTTGTTGCCGACGACACCAGGAACACCCGAAGAACGCTAGACAACCTACCTTGAAGAAGACGCCTGAGATACGGTCGAAGGTTTCATAGTGGTCTGCCATCTGATACCACTGATTGTCTTGCGTTAGAGCTGTAGAGCTGTTTTATCATGGAGCCGTTGTCGGTTTAACTAACCACTTGACAATTAGGAGTTATAATGCAGTGGAGGACGTAATGAAATCTAGTTTTAAACGAGGTAAGCGCTTGTCGACACATTCTGGCGTGCGGTTCCGTTTTTTTGACTCTTTGTGGCTGTGCATAGTTAAACCAATTGCATGCTGTTTTCAAAACATAGAGGTGAATATAAGTTGGTTGATTCATAGGGTGAATCTTCAGAAAAGGTGAAAATTTGTCGTCAGAACTGAAGGGTCACTGTTATACTGGTTGAACATCACAAAATGAATTTGTCTAGACGATTTCTTCACTTCATAGCGGTGGGCTATCTGAGATAAAAGAACATCATTATGAAGCAGAACAGTTGATGAAACAAAGGGCACAGTTTGCGACCTGGCGAAAGGGTGATTTTAATTTATCCTGTGTGCGAATAACCTTATGAATAAGTTACTCGTTACTTTACGAATAAGGGTCA